TTGCAGCAAAAATCCCAAGACGAATTTCAAGGCTCCTCTCCCTGATCCCTGTGTTTTCTCTCTTCTTCTACCTCCCGATGACCCTTTCTTTCCTTAGTCTTCGTGGAATAGCATCCATCTTCCTTTCTTCTTTTTTTTTTTTTGATAAGCCAAAAATTTTATTATTATGGTACAAGGAGTACCCAAACCCATATACATTCATAGCACCACTTACATTGCCTATCTCAACATTAAATTGTCATCCTTCCAATTTACCATTCCAGTTCAAAGTTGGAAAAATTTGAAATAGGCATATCTAGCAGTTTACAGTTATCATAAATGCTTGCAATTGATTGGAACATGCAACTTCCACTGTTCTTTTAGCATACACAATTCGTCACAGGTCAATTGTTCAAATCCATCACCCGTCTTTTCACTAGTTTGTTAGGATGCACACAAGTCAGGTCCTTTTTTCTTTCATATGCAGGCATTTAGACTTGCTCAAATCATGGAGGGTCAGCATCCATCGTGCCAGGATAGTTTAAATTTTAGACATAGAATGGATGTTTTTACTTTGATAGCATTTGTGAGTACTTCTTTTTTAATCTTCTTGAAAGCCTCCACAACAATCGACTACATTTCTCCATCTGAGCCTCTCCCCGATGGAAAGACCTTAGTTTCCCATGATGGAAGCTTTGAGTTGGGTTTCTTCCATCCAGGCAGTTCTGGGAACCGGTACCTGGGAATTTGGTACAAGAACATCCCGGTCTAAACAGTTGTTTGGGTTGCTGTTAAGAAGTGAATACAATTATATTCAGAATTATTGTAAATATTTTATATTTTAAAATATTCTCTTTATATACTTTATACCTTAAAATATTCTTTTTGTAAACACCTATATGTAGATCATTGTACATACAGTGTTATTTAAGAAAACAATAAACCTTTCTTCAAATTATTCTTCTTCTTTTCTGTTTCTAACATAGTATCAGAGCGATAAGCTCCTACTTTTTTTCTCTTATCATCGTTGTTTGGTTTTTGGAGTTGGATTTTCAATTCCATTCCAGATCTGAAACTTTGTCATTGGGATCTCTTCTTCTACAGATTGGATTGTTTATCGTCAATTCTCAAGCCTTTTCTGAGGTTTTTTTTGATTTGTTATTTTGATCTTGGCATTTATTTCTTCATATTTTTTTTTAGAGATTTTCAGTATTGTGAGTTTTATCAATTCTATGGTGAGTTTTGAAAGGATTGTAACTCATCCTGTTACTGTTATGGTTGCCAAAGAAGTGATAGACCAACCTAATGTCAACCTTGAATCCTTAAAACAGGTGATATTAAATCTTTTTAATGCTCCTATTGCCTTATCAACTGCTCTAGGTATCAAACCTTGGTATTTTGATTTTAGTTGTTGTAACCATGTCTTCAATTACTACTCATTTCTCTTTAATGTCATCAAATAATTCATTTCTTGATATTTATTCTGCTAATGGTTCTCCTATGAATGTTAGTCACGTTGGCAATATTTCTACAAAATCATTGACTTTACCAAATGCCCTCTTAGTTCCAAAACTTAGTTATAATCTTCTATCTATCGGTTAATTATATGATCTTGGTTTTGAAGTAAAATTTTATGCTCATGGTTGTCATGTGTAGGACCCACAGACAGGACAACTTCTTGGAACTAGTCGCAAGGTGGGGTGTTTGTTTGAGCTCAATTATTTGCATATTCCGGATAATAAAATGGATACACCATCATTTTCAAATGATCGATTCATCTAAACCTTGCTTTGTGCTGTTGAATTAGAGGCTTTACAAATTCCATACCAACAAATTTTGCAAGCTTGTGTTGCTACTAATGTTTCTCCTTTCCACTTGTGGCACTCACGGCTCGAACATACCTTAGTCGGTAAACTTCATCCACTTATCTCTCGTGGTTTATTAGGATCAGTTCTGAATGAATCCTTGCATTGTGTGCCATGTCAATCTGCAAAGCAACCAGCTTTATCTGTTTCGAGTAGTCATTCTAATTCTACTACTCCTTTTGATCTTGTGCATTCTGATGTTTAGGGTCCATCTCCTACACCCACCATGGGGTTTCCAGGTACTTCGTGTTATTTATTGATGATCATACTCGATTTACCTGGATATACCTTATGAAATATTGCTTTGAATTATCACAAATTTATATTGATTTTGCTACCATGGTCAAAACTCAGTTCTCTAAAATTATCAAAGTTTTGATAACTGACAATGCTACTAAATACCTTGGTATTAAACTTCAATCCTTTTTGAAAGAATAGGGTACATTGACACAACAATCTTGTCCTTACACTTTTGAACAAAATGGGTGAATCGAACGCAAACACAGACACATCCTTGATTCTGTTCGTGCTTTGCTCATTTCATCTTCTTGTCCAGAGCGATTTTGGGGTAAAACTGCTCTTACAGAGGTTTATCCTATTAATCGGATTCCATCATCAGTACTTAATAACCAGTCTCCATACGAGTGTTTAAATGGTATTCTTCCTACGTATAATCTTTTTAAGGTTTTTGGTTGTGTAGGTTTTGTTCTTTTTCCATCTCATGAACATAACAAGCTAGAGCCTAGAGCTCAATTATGCTGTTTTTTGGGTTATGGGATTACACAAAAAGGATATCACAAAAAGGATATCGTTGTTAGGATCCTATGTCACAAAAACTTCCAATTTCACATCATGTTGTCTTTTAGGAACACACTATGTTCTCATCGTTGTCAAACTTCAAAGTGTCATCCTCTCATCAACCTCCATTTTTTACTAATCCCTTTATTGAGCTATTTTCTAGTGATTCTGATGTAGGTACATCTGATGAGCTCTACAATGCCTCACCACATGCTCCAACTAGTTCTGTAGAAGGTGATCTGCCTACTGGCAATGCATTAAATAATTCTGAGCCTTCTTCTACTTCCTCATCTGTATCACTTGTTGATGTTGTTGAGTCTACAAATGAGCTTGTTGTCGCATCCTCAAGCCATCCTACTCGGGTAAGAAACCCTGCTAGCTACCTTCGTGATTATCATTTTTTTCCTGCTATTACTTCTTTACATGAGCCTCAATCCTATCAAAAGGCCTCTTCTAATCCTTTTTGGCAACAAGCTATGCAAGATGAGTTACAGGCTCATAAGAACACTTGTACATGGGATTTAGTTGATTTCCTTGCTGAAAAGTCTCTAATAAGCTGTAAATGGGTGTACAAGATCAAAACACGATCTGATGGTCTGTGAAGCGTTATAAGGCACGCTTGATTGCCAAGGGTTTTACACAGGAGTATGGAATAGACTATGATGAAACATTTGCTCCAATTGCTCGTCTGACATTTGTGCGCAGTTTGCTTGCTATCACTGCTATACGGAGATGGAAATTGTTTCAAATGGATGTGAAAAATGCTTTTCTTAATGGTGACCTAGAAGAAGAAGTCTATATGAAACCACCTCCTGGTCTCAACCATCCTCCAAACAAGGTATGCTGATTGTGACATGCATTATATGGGTTGAAGCAATCCCCTCAAGCATGGTATGTAAAGTTTAGTGCTATTGTGAGTGAGTTTGGTTTTACTTCCAGTCCACATGATACAGCTTTGTTCATTCGTAAGACTACTCAGGGTATAATTCTTTTACTTCTTTATATTGATGACATAATTATTACTGGAGATGATGTCGCAGGTGTTGAGGAGCTAAAACAATCTCTCAGTTAGAAATTTGAGATGAAAGATCTCAGTGCTTTGAGTTATTTTCTGGGGCTTGAAGTCACCTCTTCAGATGATGGCTACCTACTTTCTCAAGTAAAGTATGCCTTCGATCTTGTTTCTAAAGCTGAACTCAATGATGGTAAGAGTGTTTCTACACCCCTTTAACCTAATGTCAAGCTTACACCTATGGATGGGTCTCCATTTTTTGATCCTACTCGTTATCAGCAATTGGTTGGTAGTCTGGTTTATCTTACCATGACATGCCCTGATATAGCATATGAAGTTCACATTGTTAGTAAGTTTATGGCTGGTCCTCGCTCCATTCATTATGTAGCAGTACTTTACATTATTCGCTATGTTAAGGGAGCATTATTTCATGGACTCCATTTTTCTACCAACTATTCCCATGTGCTTTGCGCTTACTCTGATGCTGATTGGGCTGATGATCCTTTTGATTGTAGATCTACCACTGGTTACTGTCTTTTTCTTAGTAATTCTCTCATCTCTTGGCGGAGTAAAAAACAAACTATTCCATCTCACTCTAGTACTGAAGCTGAGTATAGAGCTCTCAGTGATACCACATCAAAACTTCTTTCATTACGGTGGCTTTTTGAAGATATAGGCATTCTTCAACCTTCTTCTACTGATTTATATTAAGATAATCAAAATGCTATGCAGATTGCTCATAATGATGTCTTACATGAATGCACTAAACACATTGAGGTTGATTGTCACTTTGTTCACCATCATGTTGCACAAGGAACTGTTCATCTGGTTTTCATTAGCTCCGCTGATCAACCAGCAGACCTTTTTACCAAGGCTCATTTCCCTGGACGCTTTCATACTCTTTTTTCCAAACTCAAGTTGGCTTTATCACAGCCACCTTGAGTTTGAGGGGGGATGTTAAGATGTGAACACAATTATATTCAAAATTATTATAAATATTTTATACTTTAGAATATTCTCTTCATATACTTTATACCTTAAAATATTCTCTTTGTAAACGCCTATATATAGGTCATTGTACATACAATGTTATTCAAGAAAGCAATAAACCTTTCTTCAAATTATTATTCTTCTTTTTTGTTTCTAACAGTTGTAAATAGGGTGAATCCAATAAATGACTCTTCTGGCATGTTGATGGTAACAACCACCGATGATCTTCAGGTTCTGAGTCAGAACATAACTACGTTTGGTCAGCTAACTCAACAAAAGCAGCTTAGAATCCTATACTATAACTCTTGAATTCTGGCAATCTTGTTTTGATAGATGGTAGGGATGGAAATTCGAGAGCTTACTTGTGGCAAAGCTTTGATTGTCCATCTAATACACTGCTACCAGGGATGAAACTAGGATGGGACTTGAGAACTGGCCTTGACCAGCATCTCTTAGCGTGGAAGAACTATGATGATCCATCTCCTGGTGACTTTACTTGGGAAATTGAACTATAAGGTAATCTTGAGGCTGTGCTCTAGTAGGGCTCACATAAATACTTTCGGAGTGGCCCTTGGAATGGCATAGGATTTAGTGGTGCCCCATATTTAAGTCTTGGTAACCTAGTTTTCAGTTATGAATTTGTCTCCAATGAAGAGGAGGTTTACTACATGTTTTCCCTCAAAAACAAGTCTGTGCTCTCAAGGATTGTTCTAAACTGAACTGACTACACAAAGTAGAGATACACATGGAGTGAAGAAACTTGAACTTGGAAGCTTTTCACATACATACGTAATGAGTATTGTGACAAATATGGGCTTTGTGGTGCATATGGGAATTCCAATGTTTGAAAGGATTCGAGCCTAAATCACCAGATGGACAGACCTCTGGGGACTGGTCTCAAGGATGTGTCAGAAACAAGCCATTAAACTGTCAGGCAGGTGATGGATTTATCCAATTTGGAAGGTTGAAACTACCTTATGCTACCCATTCATGGGTAAACAAAACTATGAGCCTCAAGGAATGCAGGGATAAATGCTTCCAGAACTGTTCTTGTATTGGCATATACTAGTTTGGATATAAGAGGACGAGGTAATGGTTGCACCATTTGGTTTGGTGATCTAGTTGATATTAAACAGTTTCAATCTGGTGGGCAGGATTTGTTCATTAGGATGCTACTTTAGACTTTGGTATGAACACAACTTTCATTCACATCTCTTCATAAGAAACTTGAATGTTTCATTGAAGCTAAGTCTAGTTGGAAGTAGAAAGAACAAAGAACTATGCTTATTACAGGTTGTGATAATGTACTTTAACTAAGATCTAATTATATTTGTTCTTTCTATCAAAATTGCAAATCAAGAATCGAAGATCAATGAAACTAAGTGGAAGACTAATTTTACTTCTCTATTTTATTGTCACTGTTTGGGCAGCTTCACGAACCTACACTATAGAGATCTTCAATTGCTTCAATACCTGAAAAAGCCGAGGATGTTTCCTTTGGGAGAATATTTCGATGCTCAAGTCAGCAATACTCAATATTTTAGAGAGAGAAGCTCTCAAGAGTAATTGCAGAAAGAGAAGCGTAATGGAGTTATTACCTTGAGTGGAGGTATGTGGGGGTATTTATAGCCCCCAGATGATGACATGAGTTCATACATGTAAGCATCTGATTGGTCCACGTGTAAGCACGTGTAAGCACCCACATGGGTATGTCTGAGCTTGTATATAGATGTATCTTCATTTTGGGCTCATGGATAAACAACTGGGCCTACTGTACATGGCCTAGGTTGAATGTTGGGCTAATTCCCAACATTACTCCCTCCTCAGCGTTCAGTTGATGAATTAGGATAACTGCATTTGCGGCCCAACGTTCAACCTTGAGAATATGGCCTACAGCCTTTTGAGTTTATGAACAACCTCGTTAGTGGCCGAGCTGAAAAGAGTACAGTACAGAATACACATCAAAATGCGAAGGCCTGACTTGAACGAGCCGTGGTGCATCTGGACTTAATCCTAGATGAGGAAGCCTTTGGGGAAAAGCTTACATCTGGGGGACCTGATCTTAGAGCGACCTTATCCACTCGAGTTTAGATTACGTATCTACAAACAGAATGAGCTCATATGCCCAACTGTGAGTGAGCAACCTGATATTAGAGTGATCTCATTCGCGTGAACTTAGACAATACATTTGTAGATGCAGCAAGCTCGTACAATGAATTTTCAAACTTCTAAGTGGAGTAGGTCTCGAAGGAGATGGAGTTTCCTGGTAAGATGTGTGTCACATATGATGTGGTGCATGATGAGCTCGTCCACGTGATTGCAAAGACAAGCTAGCACATGAAGATCTCAACCTTGCACTTTTTCAAAATTTAAAATTGAGCGAATCTCTAGGGAGATATGGTTTAGAGTGGTTGATATCCTTCTGCCAATGGATATCCTTGAGCTTGTCCACGTGATTGCAAAGACTAGCTAGCGCATGATGATCTCCACCTTGCGCTTTTTCAAAATTTAAAACTGAGCGAATCTCTGGGGAGATATGGTTCAGAGCAGTTGATATCTTTTTGCTAACGGATATCCCTCCACCTTCCCCACAATAAATGATGGCTCAACATTTGAAGAGACGTGACAGCTAAAGCCGACAGACATTACACGCCCAGCCGTAAACAGCTGCCACGTGTGGGTGTTTAATTGGTGCGTTAGAACCGCACGTACGACAATTAAGGCTGCACGATCTATTTGAGAAAATGGGAGAGAAATGATCGTATAACCATTTTTTGTTTCTCTTTCACTGTATTCTCTATCATTTTCTGCAGTGGAGGTCTTTGAAGCTTTTGAGGCGAATTTTTGAAACTACAGACACAAAAGGACTTTTCGTTCCAAATACTCAAGTAAAAATGGAGTGTTTTAGAGAATTTAGGGAGCTTCGGGGTAACCAGGACAGGGAGGAAGAGAGGGTTATTATTGTGGAGCCGATTGTAATGATAGTGACACTATAACTGCAAGACTTGCCGGAAACGATAACACCAGAGGGCAGCGCCAATTCAAGCGCAGATGGTAACTCTGGTGGTCACCATTCTTCGCTGTCTAAAGGTTTGTCTTCATAGAGGACATCCAGCGATGGAGAAGATGTGGGGGAAGGTGCTAGTAGTCCCTCAATGGAAAATGTGGAGGCGGATGTGCTTGTGCTTGAAGAATGGAAGGGTAAAACTATAAGTGGTAGACTGGGTAACATCTGTAGGGCACCACAAAATTTGCCTGCTGGATTTAGGTTCAGGGCGGCACTTCACCATGAAGTAGCAGATGGCACCGCCTCTATCAAAGGGTATAAGAAATTGGAGGAGATGGTGAGGCAATATCAGATCCCCAAAACAATTTTGATCCGGGCTTGCACCAAAAACGAGAGGGCATGCATAGTGTTATGAATGAGATGGATACTAGTGTATGTGGACCACTTTGATGCCGACTTGTGTTTTCCTTTGCCCAAGCTAATTTTTGACGTTTAGGCAGAGTACTAGTTAGCTAACACAGTTGACCCCAAACAGCATAAAATTTAGTATAGGATTTATTTTGCTATGTGCGAGGTTGGAGATACCTACTAAAGCAATAGTATTTAGGTTGCTATTTTTGTGCCAGCTAAGTACTACTCAAACGAGGTGGTACTACATTTCTGGGAGAGAGAAGATGATGATTTTTACAAATGTAAGGAATAAGGTCGCCAAATGGAAGAGGCAATTCATTTTTGTTCACGATACGCTAACAGAAAGCGTTAATAACGAGTTGGCTGCTCACATCTCTAAGTGGCGCTTAGGTCATACTTACATGAACTATCCCACACTAGTGCCAGACGATGTGGCTTTAAAGAACAGGCTATTAGATTATGTAAAGGCAGAGGGATTAGTCGACTTGGAGGCCCTAGTTACCCCATAGCAGCTCATGGTGTTTAGGTTTGTGGATGCCACAAACCTATATACCGAAGGTACATTTCTATTGTAAATTGTGATTGTTAGCTGATCTGAGTTTTATTGCATTTGTTTGTACAGGAGAAATGAGCAGCATGTTAGAGAGGCAGCGTGAACGAGCCCAACGTTCACCAAATCGTGGGCCTGGGTCTAGCTTGCACAGACAAACTCGTTTTGATGAACGACCACCTATGGTGCCGCCCCACAACTCGTCCCATCGAGAATGAGGTTCTAGCTCGGTGTCCAGGTCTCATACGGAGCATAGGGTTGAAATTGTGCCTTTGGATTCCTGAAGGCGTGCTCGTGAGGACTCAGATGTTGAGGATGACGTGCCACTTATTCGGCGCAGAACGAGCTTCGAGACTCAGCCCATTCAACCCATCGTGGTATGTTCGTCTAATGTGCCTCCTGCCTTGACACTTGATGTTGTCAAGACTCCGCCAACAGCCACATCTGCATTGGGCCTAATGATTGCATACCCTGAAGGCTTCAGTTACACAAAAACTGACTGCCAGGCCACCATGGTGTAGGGTATGCAAAGTTTTGTTCCCCTAGTGGATCAACAATGTGCAAAGGTTATATACAGTAGCATGGGGGTTATGCTGCCATGTTGAAATTAATGGATGTAAGTATTTTCATCAAACGTTTGTGTTATCTATTCTCTCAATTTTATGTTAGAAACTAACTGTAGAAATTATGTGGCAAGCATTCAGCTATGCGGTTGCACTGTTTAAGCGCGAGCAGGGAGCATGCGGGCAAACCTGTGAGCTCAATGAAAGCTGTAAATGGTTTAGTTCTGAGAAGGCAAGCTTGGAAGACGAGGTCAACCACTTGCAAAGCTCTAAGATGACCAACAGAGCTGCGTCAGTTGAGAGCCAAGCTGACGAGTTGGCTAATAATGTAAATGAGCTAAAGGAGAAGCTAAAGAAGGCTTAAGTGGAGAGGGAAAGTGGGATTCAGGCTACCAAGAATGAGGCCGACCGTGCTGAGGCATGCGCCAAGAAGGCAGAAGCTGAAAGGGATGACGCTCTGAACGAGTTGAACTCCCTAAGGCAACGGGTGGCCACGACCAATCAGAATCTGTCCCGTGCAGAGGAGGCACTAAACAAGACCAAGAGGTCTTACCAGCACTCCGTAAGTATTGCTCGAGCTTAAGGGGCGGAGTGGCTGATTGGCTTGGACATGTTCCAAGATGTCGTAGCTGTCGTTTCTATGAATACCACGACACAAATCTATGATGATATTTGCGAAAAGGTATTATAGCACCAACCTGACTTCCCCATTGGCGAGCTGGGTTTTTTTGAGGGGGAAGAAATTGATGAGCAAGGGAAGAGCCCAGCCCCTCTTACTAATACCATTGTGTGGCTAAAGTGGAAGCTAAACGAAGATGGGGTGCCTATATGGCCTCCGTCTATTCTTGAAGAAGGGGAGGACCTTGAGGGCTTGCCCTGCTTTGACGCTTGGGTGGCCAGGGTACCTAAGGCAGAAGGTGATTTGTTGATGATTTGAACAATTTCAATAGTCTCTTGTACTGCAATGTATAATTTTTGAAAGAAATACAATGTGGGAGATTTTTTACAAACTTGTGTATTAATTGAACTTTGATCATAGATTTTACATCTTCTCATTTTGCTGAGTAACAATACAAGCTAACTGTAATACTTTCTGAGATTATGTATATTCCACGTGAATGGTAGTTAACAACCTTTTGAATCTGCTAATAAACAGGATCCAGGTCGTTCAATAGCAATAACCATGTAGGGATCCTCCTAGTTAGGAGCAAGCTTGCCCATGTGTGAATAAGCATTAGTGAGCCCAGCCTTGTGCAAAACTAGGTCGCCGACCTGAAATTGACAAGAACGAACCCTTTTATTGTAAAATCTGACAACACGACTTTGATAAGCCATGTTTTTCATTCGAGATGTCTCCTTGACCTCTTCCACAAGGTTTAAGTTTTCTCTTAGGAGTTGTTCGTTATTAGAATCATTACACTAAGTAGGTCTGTTAGGCCACAAGCCGATTCCCACGAGGATTGTGGCCTCAGATCCATATGCAAGGGAGAACGAGGTCTCTCCTGTGGCCGAACTAGCTGTGGTACTACACGACCAAAGCACTTTGTTGAGCTCATCAACCCAATTAGAGTGTGTGGCTAAGTCACGTGCCTTAAGGCCACGCAAGACGATTTTATTAGTCAACTCTGCTTGTCCGTTTGACTGCAGAGTGTAAACGAATGTAAGAGCCAATTCGATGCCATAATCATCACAAAACGACCTGAGAGCTACAGCTTGAAACTGAGGATCATTATCAGCGATGATTCTCTTAGGAATACCAAATCTGCATACAAACAAATTGGCTAAGGCACAAAATACACGTGCATGTAATGCATATATGGTTTGACTCATTGAAGGGTACCTGCACAATATAGAATTGAATAAGAACTCTTTTATTTTCTTTTCAGGTATTGTTTGAGCTCATCACAAGCCTACTGGCATTCATTAGTCCAGTTGAAGTTTTTGGGCTCTCTCAAAGCTTTGAAAAACGGAAGACATCTTTCCGCCGACCTAACAATAAATCTGTGCAAAGCAACGAGGTGACCTGTTAGACGTTGCACATCTTTTACTGTTTTAGGAGGTTCTATTTGCTGCACGGCCTGAACCTTGTCTGGATTCACCTCAATTCCTTTCTTGGATACCACATATCCTAGAAATTTGCTTGATTCCACAACAAACATACACTTCAAGGGGTTTAACTTCATCTATGCTCGGTGCAGGTTTTGAAATGTTTCATTAAGATCGTCAATATGATCTTCAACTCATAAATTGGTGACAATCATATCATCAACATAAATTTCAATATTTTTGTCGATTTAAAGCTTAAAGACGACTTGAACTAATTTTTGATATGTGGCCCTGGCAGTTTTCAATCCAAACGACATCATGACATAACAGTATATAGCATCCCTTGCATAAAATGCTGTTTTCTCTTGGTCGTCCAACCATAGCTGAACTTGATGGTATCACGAACTGGCATCTAGAAATTTGCTTGATTCCACAACAAACGTACACTTCAAGGGGTTTAACTTCATCTATGCTCGGTGCAGGTTTTGAAATGTTTCATTGAGATCGTCAATATGATCTTCAGCTCATAAATTGGTGACAATCATATCATCAACATAAATTTCAATATTTTTGTCGATTTAAAGCTTAAAGACGACTTGAACTAATTTTTGATATGTGGCCCTGGCATTTTTCAATCCAAACGACATCATGACATAACAGTATATAGCATTCCTTGCATAAAATGCTGTTTTCTCTTGGTCGTCCAACCATAGCTGAACTTGATGGTATCACGAACTGGCATCTAGAAAGCTCATGCACTCATGACCAACTGCACGCTCTACTAATTTCTCAACATTAGGTAAAAGGTGTGGGTTTTTGGGACACGCTTCATTCAAGTTTGTGAAGTCAATGCACATCCTCCATTTGCTGTTAGGCTTTTTAACGAGCATAGGGTTGGACACCCATTGTGAATATTCAACTCACCTAATGAAGCCTGCCTGTAATAGCTTCTATATTTCTTTATCTATAGCGGCTTACTTTTCAGGGCTAAAAAGGTGACACTTCTGAACCACTGGCTTTCTTGTGGGGTTTGTATTGAGCTTGTGGACTACAAATTTTGTTGGAATTCCGGGCATTTCATCTATTGTCCACGCAAAAACATCCTAGTTGGACTTCAAAAATTCCAGGAGCTCGGTTCTTTCTTCCATTGTGAGTTTGGTTCCAATTTTCACTATTTTTTCTAGTTCATCAGGGTTTAAAGGAACTGTCTCCACTGGTTCTACTGGCTTGGCCTTCTACTCTGCATTCTTCGGTCAATGATCTATGTCAGATATGCTCATCGTTTGCAAGCCTGGCTGGTTCAGCCTGGAAACCTGAGAGGAAGAGGCCTTTGGCACCGTAGTGAGCTCGACTTTCTTAAATGTATCTTGGTAGCACATTCTAGCCATTTTCTAGTTTCCCTTGAGTACTCCTATCCCCTAAGGAGTTGGGAATTTCATACAGAGATGTGGTTGCGAAATGACAGCCTTCAATTCACAAAGAGTAGCTCTTCCTATTATAGCATTAAAAGCTTATTCCATTTTGACTACTAAGAAACTCATTGAGGCCAGCCTAAACCGTGGTTTAGTACCCACATAGATGGGAAGAGTGATTACCCCTTCAATAGAGACGGGCTGATTGTCAAATCCATATATTGGCCCTTCATATTTCTTCAAAGAAGTTGAGTTCAGTTGCATCTTTTGGAAACAGCTCCAATATAAGATGTCTAAAAAGCTGCCCATATCAATAAAGACCTTATTAACATTATGATTGCTTATGTGGACTATTGACATGAAGGGGTCAACATGGGGCATCATAACATCAGGTTTTCCCTCTAGTCATTTGTAGTCAGTAGGACTGAATGTAATGGGCATGTTTTCCCATTTCGCTTCCTCAAACGGTCGTTTTAGGGGCGTATTCTTATTCACAGTCATTACCTAACGAGCATAGGCTTTACGACCTGGGGTGCTCTGGCCTCCTGAATGCATGCCATCGAAAATCATATTTATCATGCTTGAGGGTGGAGGTATTCTGATGTAGCCTACCCCCTATTGTCATCTGCCCTTGTCCTCGTCTATTGGATTGGCGTCCCCTGTATACTCTGCCAGGCTTAGAAAAGTATTAATTCCCTTAGTATGGGTTTCGATTATTGCCAAGTTGGTGCCCTTGCCCATGAGGTCGATTATAATCCTATACATAATGGGTTTGGCTAGGCTGTTGAGTCTAGGATTTCTAGATATGTTCTTTCAGTTTTCCATTGCGAGCTAAAAATTCTAGCTCATCCTTTAAACTCTTGCAGTCATCTGTATTGTGGCCATACCCACGATTGTAATCACAATACTTGGGGTGAATCATGGAAATGAGGAGGTGGCCTCTTAATCCAGCGTTGGATCTGTGCCAAATTTTGAGATCTCGACAAGCTCAGAAGGATGTAATTAGCATATTTTGGGAAAGCAGGCAGTTTTCCTCTTTAATCGACAACTTTCTGTTTTTTCTTTTCTTCCCTTCCTTCTGGCTATTTGTGCTCTTTATTCTGTTTATCATCAGCTCGTCTTTTGGATGACTGAAAGTCTTCCGACAAGGTGAAGCTTGCAAACCTGTCATTCACTTCATTCCACAACTTTGATGGATTTTCCAACAGGTCATCCAAGAATCGACTAGGCTTGAGGCCATGCAACAAAGGAGACAAACAGACAGTGTCAGGGACATTGTCAATGTCTAAAGTAGTCTTGTTGAACCGTTGCATGTAGTCTCTTAACGATTCTCATTCCCTTTGATGTACTTGCATTAGCTCGGTGGTTGTGAGTTTTATTTCTCGTTGGCTCGCAAATTTGTTACATAACAAAGTAACGAGTTGGGAGTAGGAAGTTATAGAATGTCTGGGAAGCTTGTGGTACCACCTTCTAGTGATCAACTTCAAAGTTGCAGGGAATACTTTGCATATCATAGCATCAGTAGCATTCTGGATTTCCATGATGGCCTGATAAGTATGCAAGTGTTTGTCTAGGTCACCAGAGCCATTGTATGTTTCTAAATGAGGGATCTTGAACCCTTCCTAATATGGTTCCGTAGTAATGGATAGGTTAAGAAAGGCGTTATCTAAATCCGGAGCCTATTGGCATGACCTCGGACTTCTCAGCTCGTTAATTGACTTCTATATGTCTTTGAGCTGCCTTTCGAGCTTTGTATTCTTCCTCATCAACTCCTTATTGTGCTTTGAAAAGTTGGGCTCGGGATTTGATTTCCCACTTCCCCTCGGCTTGGTCGACACTACCACATTGCTTAAGGCTGACGTTTGAGCAGACTCTATAGGTCCTTCATGCCGTAAGGTATTATGTCTGGGGTGCCTTTGCCTTGTTTCCACTGGAATCTGAAACTGCTCTTCAAGCTAGGTAGCATACCCGGTGGGTGTTCGCTTGTCATCGGAGCTATTCGGCTGCTCTTGCTCTGCTTCTCTTACAAAAAGGTTTCTATGTTTAGGGTGCCTTTGCCTTGTTTCCACTGGAATATGAAATTGCTCTTCAGGCTGGGTAGCATACCCGGTGGATGTTCGCTCGTCATCCGAGCTATTCGGCTGCTCTTGCTCTGCTCCTCCTACAAAAAGGTTTCTCGGCATTGGCCAAAAGTCGTTCAAGCATCCTGATCATCCATCCCGTTCCTCGAAGGGGGGTGATTCCCAATAAAAGTGCACACCATGTTTAGCTTCAACACTAGCAACATTGCTTCTCTGCTTAGTTTCCCACAGATGACGCCATATGTTTGGGCAACTTCACGAACCTACACTGTAGATATCTTTAACTGCTTCAACACCTGAAAAACTCGAGGATGTTTCCTCGAGGAAACACTTTGATGCTCAAGTCAACAATACTCAATATTCTAGAGAGAGAAGCTCTCAAGAGTAATTGTGGAGAGAGAAACATAGTGGAGTTATTACTTTGAGTGGAGGTAGGTGGGGGTATTTATAGTCCCCGTGTGATAACATGAATTCATACATGTAAACATCTAATTGGTCCACATGTAAGCACCTATGTGGGTATGTCTGGGCTAGTACATAGATGTATCTTCATTTTGGGCTCATGGACAAATGACTGGGCCTACTGTACAAGGCCCATGTTGAATTTTGGGCCCATTCCCAACAGTCATTAGGTAACAAATAGTTTCTTGGAGTTAGAAGACTTAAGACCCTCTTTCCTTTGAATTACTATGATTGATCCAAGGCTAGAATGGCAAAATCAAATGCTAGTGAATCATTTCCTTTAACTCAATGATTTTTTCTTTTATATGATAACTCACTGCTTTTTTCCATAATTTTAAGGCGTATTTTTAAGTAGTATGCAATGCATAAAGCCAGTAAAACTATATATGATATTACAGGTTATGGTAAGAAGCAAGTGGCAATTATTGTCAGCATTGTAATGTTGACTGGACTGGTTTTCACTAGATTATTATGCTACATACAGATCAAGAAATAGAGGAAGCAAGGAAAAGGCAAAAATGAGGAGATGGAGTTGCCAATGTTTGATTTAACCACTATTGTTAAAGCAACAGATAACTTTTCAAGTAACAACATGCTAGGTTTCAAGTAACAACATGCTAAGACAAGGTGGGTTTGAACCTGTTTACAAGGTATTTTTTTTTTTTTAGAAAAAAAAAACTATATGCATGAGCCATAATGTTTACAACAAATATAAACATTCATAAATGATGAATTTTCTAGGGATCATTGGCAAAGGGGCAAGAAATAACAGTTAAGAGGCTTTCAGAAAGTTCCAAGCAAGGAATGGTAGAGTTCAAAAATGAAGTTATACTAATTGCCAAACTTCAACATCGTAATCTTGTTAAGCTTCTTTAGTGGTGGAGCCAAGAATTTTGTTTAGGGGGCTCGGCTTTTCAAGCGTTAAAATAATGTATTGTAATTTTAAAAACTTACTTTTATATCAAAAATTAAAAGAATATTCAACGAGTTTTTATGTCATAAAATCTATTTATAATAGAATCTACACCAAATGATTGAATTATTTCATTTTCAATATAAATAATCAAAGAGTTTGAAAGGAATTCATCCTCCATTTTGCTACGAAATTTCATTTTCACAATTTTCATGACAGAAAATGCTCTTTCTATTGTTACAATTCTAATCCACTAGCCATTTTCTTGTTCATGTCAATCTCAAATTTGAATAAGAGATCTAAAATTTGAAACTTGTATAGAGGTAGCAATTGACAACATAAAACCTTTAAGCACTTAATTAGTTATCAAGATTACTAAAATAGTATATCAGTACGTAGTGGTGGAACACTTAATTATTTGAGTTATCAGTTATCTCTTATTCTCTAGTGGAAGAGATTCTACATCTCCACAAGTGAGGTTGGCAAATATGAAATATGGCAACATCCTATCTCTTCATCCTACCACTTTCTACAATCAAACAATTTTTTTCTCTTTTTACAAGTTTTTTACAAGTTAATTACACTTTATACTAATTTATCTTCTTTTTATACGAATTTATCTTCCTATTGCTTTTCTCTATATAACTATATCCAAGGTTTTTTCTTTTATTGAGTTCATATATGTTCCCTTTATGGATGTATACTTTCTTTTCAATTTTTTTTTTCCTTAGATCCAATTTTATTCCATATAACTTCAATATAAATTCAATATTATCATAATATTCAATTTTATTTGTAATCTCAACAACTCTAAATCCTAAAAAGAAATTATATAATTTTTTGTGATAATAAAAACTCAATAAATTTCATTACTTAAATATTACTCATTTCATACTAGAATAATAGATTTTTTTGTTTTATCTTCAAATAAAGGATTTAAAAATAATTTTTATCTTTTTCTTAAAAATAATTGTTTGCGTCGGCCCACCAACAAAGTCTCTTTTCTTTTCGGTTAAATGCTAGATTTAGTCCCTCAACTTTAGTGAGTTGCACATTTTTGGTCCCTTAACAATTTTTTGCACTTTTTTGATCCCTCAACTATACGAAATGCACTCCGTTAGTCCTTCTGTTAGTTTGAGCCGTTAACCCGGCTTAGGTGGCATTTTTTATATTTTTTTTGATGACGTGGAGATCAAAACTTAAAAAGGTGATGATTTGTATAAAATTTTTGCCATGTCACATGTTCTCTGGCTGAAAACGCACCAAATCCATCAAATGGGTCCCACATCACCACTAAGAATTGCTTCTTTCTCGTCTGTTACTGTTTCCCACATCAATGTTCTTTCCATTTTCAAGATTGAAGTTCGACAGAACAGAACCCAGCAAATACATTCCACCCAACTCGATTCACTGAGCTCAATTGCTCAAAAATCCCTGCAATTTGAATAATCTCGGCAAACAATCATATAACCAAAAAAAAAAAACCCAATTGCCCAAAAATCCCTCACAACAACCTGCAATTCGGATAATAATCTCTTGGCAAACAATCATATAAACAAAAAAAAAGGTGGATCTGGGTTCTGGGTTCGGTCGAACCCAGCAACTGGCTCCGATGGAACCCAGTTGCTGGGTTTGGGGGAACCCAGCACTGGGTTCCACCGAACCCAGTTGCTGGGTTCAACGGAACCCAGCAACTGGGTTCAATGACCCGAGGAAGAAGAGGAAGAAAGAAGAGGAAGGAGAAAAAAGAAAAAGAGAAAGGAAGAAGATGAACGTGAGTTTTTTTATTTTATTTTTTTAAAATATAAATAGTAATAATGTGAGTTGGCATAAAAAAAAATCCACGTCAACACGTTTTCGATTTGTTTTTTGCCATGTCATCAAAAAAATTATAAAAAATGCCACATAAGCAAGTTAACGATCGAAATTAATAGAAGGACTAACGGAGTGCATTTTGTATAGTTGAGGGATTAAAAAAGTGTAAAAAATTGTTGAGGGACCAAAAATGTTTATTTCATAAAGTTAAGGGACCAAATTAAGCATTTAACCTTTTTTTTCTTTTTTCTATTTTTAAAGTTGTTGGGTTGAGGTTGCAGAAGATTAGCATTGGCATAGTGGGGTTAGATATTGGAGAGACGATGTTGAAGACACCAAAACCTGTTTTCCTTCTTTTTTTTTTTTTTTTACATAATTTAGTTGTGGGGTTTGAGATGGATAAGTTTTAAATAATAATAAATAATTAAATTGTTAAAATGAATAATGAATTATATAGATTATATTTGGATTCCTAAAACAACCCATTATTTTTGGATTTTTTTTATTTTATGTATTTTAATAATTAAAAATATAATATTTAAAATTTTAATAATAATAATTAATTAATTATATATATATTTTTTTCAAATCCCAAAGGGGCCACTGCACTCAGGGTCTCTCCATAGCTCCGCCCCTGTTCTCCTCTTCATTTTCCTGTATACAAAACGATTGCACTATGCAGTAAATGCACTTTGTCTGTAGTATCATCACAGGTGCTCCCCAGTCTTAGGGCTGAGCACTATACCATAAATGCCATAATTACTATTGTACCGTCTTATTACCGGCGGAAACGGTATGGTAAATTACTACATGGTAAGTCTAAAAGGTAATATGTCAATACTATTTAGACCTGTGGTACGATATTGGTATTGGAGGTCATTACCATTTTTACCATATGGTTACCAAATTTATCACTCATTCAAAACCTTTTTCTCTTTTTTTTTTTATTCTACAAAGTTTTCAATTGTTGCTAGTTCTCTCCTTTTTTTTTTTATGTGTGCATGTTTTGTATAATTATATATTTGTATGCTTCAAGATGAGGAAAAACGGTATGGAGAAAATAAGTTTTTAAGATAATTTTGAGTTTTTAAGATAATTTTGAGCTTTTAAGATTGAATTTTGAATGACTTGAATTAATTGATAATGAAGAAAATAAGTTTAAAGATGGTAATATGGTATGATATTGGTAAAGTAAGTTTCATTACCATTAAAAATGGTTGATAGCTATTATCAAAAAATCATCAATTGATATGAAAGTGGTAACTCTTTTTTATTACCATTTAAAACAATTACCATCATTTGAGTGTGGTACGGTTACCATACCGTACCATACCCAGTCCTACCCAGTCCCCAGATTCCATCTTTTCTTGAAAATCTAATGCAAAAAATAGTAAAATAATTAAAGTTTTGTCATCTTAAATTCTTAATAGCTGCTTTCGGTGGAAAGCATTGTGATATACCTCTCTTTCTAGACCAGTTGGCCGGTTGAGAGAATATTCTTGTAGTATCTTTAAAATTATTTTAAAGGATTTATGTAATAATTAATTTTTTAATTAATATTTT